ATCACCTTCCAACGCTCCCATCTGTTCCAACTGACAAACTCCGGTACCAATTCAGTGCTAAACCGTGCAAACTCGTCCTCACCCTTCTTGACCACTTCCTTCACTGACCTCCCAAATTCACTAGCCTTCACATTAGCCTCACCCAAATCAAACCCAGTTTCCTTCTTAACGGACTCACCGATATTGGACCAGAACCGCTCTGACCCCACTCGAAGTGACCAAGCAAGTCTCTGCCAAGAAAAACCATTAGAGCTATTTGAGTTTTTGGGGGGAAAGGCCCTAAAGGTGAGTCTTTTACGGCAAATTTTGGGTCTACTCTTCGTGGGTAAGTGGAAAAAAGTGAGCTTTCCAGGTTCACTGTTGATTGAAAATGAAGAATGAAGAAGTGGATTTCCTTTGTGAGAGATTGGAAGCTCCAGTTCTTAAACACAGAAACAACGAATTGTTTGTTCAGTGTTCTGTATCCAACATGACGGACAGGAAATTTTGAGTTTTGAGTTTGGGATTCTTTTGGGGGTTTAAGGAGGTTTATCCAAAAGGGCAGTGTAAGCTTAGCTTCATTTTTGCTTCTTCTACAGTAACACCCGAAGTTTCCTGGAAGAAACAATTACTCCCTTAAACTTTTCTTTGAGGCAAATACGCCCCCTGTTGGAGGTTTTGGATAAAAAGAAAATAGTCATGCACAAAATCAAAAAGGTGATTGTCCAGCGAGGATCAGTCTACTGTGCCATGGTAGGCCTGAGAAGCACCAGCCTGTTATCCTTCCACTGCCGAGCGGGGGAGGATTTCGCTGCTCTGTGAAACCAGCCTCACGCGGCCCCCTCCACTCTAGAAACAAGGTAGCCCAAGCTTTCGCTCGAGTCATGAGGTTTAACGGCCGGTTTGGAACGGGCAAGCCAGAAATTAGCATCAGCAGACCCGATACTATGGGCTAGACCACCGTCCCATTACCTTAAGGCGCCCACTCGGATTACAAGCTAGCGTTACCCAGCTTGGCAAACAAGTTGCGTGTTTTTCCCAGTTTATAAAGAACATGGTTGTAATGAATTACATCGACGTGGACTCTTTCTGGATTCAAGTTAACATCGTCAGTTTAAGGTCATTTTAGATGCTGAAAATGAATGTTTTGGTAATGAATTTAAAACGTTTTAGAACATCTGTAATCTCAGGATTCTCATTCCAATAATTCTTTGAAGGATTAGTAAAAGTATCCTCTCGAATTTTGTCATGAAATTCCAAAGTGAGCTCTGAGCAGCCTTTCCTAAGCCTTGGCCAAATCATGAGAGCCGCCAATTGCTCAGCCCACCAAGTGTCTTTGAAAACACCGATCTAATTGTCCCATATTGCCACGAAGAACAAAAGAATTTACACTATTGATGTGCCTTGACAACAAAACTCTACTTAAATCATGACAATAAGAGTCTTAGAAAATTGATCTAATGACAGATCACACCATCACAGCTAGCCGCTTGTCGACATAACCAAAAACGTGTATCTTCTTGATATAATAACCCCGCCATTCCCTTTGATTCTGTCAGTGTTTAGAGAAACTAAGATGGATAATGCAACTTCTTTTGTTCTCCCAGCGAATCTAGCCCCGGCTGGGGCCAGTCCAGGATGGATGAACAAAGGTGACAATGCGTTCCAGCTCACGGCAGCCACCCTCGTGGGCCTCCAGAGTGTTTCAGGGCTTCTTATCCAGTACGGACGCGCAGTGAAGAAGAAATGGGCGGTGAACTCAGCTTTCATGGTACTCTATGCATTTGCATGCGTCCTTGTGTGCTGCGTTCTTTGGGGTTACAGACTGTCTTTTGGGGATAGGATGGTTGGGTTCTGGGGAGCTGCAAATATCGCTTGGGCCAAAAATTTCTCTTAAGTCAGACATTTTCTGGGAAATTCCCAAATAAGACCATTGTGTTTTTGCTGCCATCACTTTGATTCTCATCGCTGGAGCGGTATTAGGACGCATGAATTTTTATGCTTGGATGTTATTTGCACCCCTCTGGTTAACATTTTCTTATACCATTGTAGCATTTAGTGTCTGGAGTCTTGAAGGTTTTTTCTTCAAGATGGGCATAATTGATTACTCCGGTGGCTATTTCATCCACTTATCTTCAGGAGTTGCCGGTTTCACAGCAGCCTGCTGGGTAAGAAAAAATAAAAAATCACATTTTGATGTTGCCTCTTATTGTAGAGTTAAATTTTTTTTTTTTAAAATATCTTTTTAGTTATTGAATTACTATGTTTGAACTTGAGATCTTTAATAATCCTATGGTATTCCATATTTTGTAATAGGTCGGACAACGGCTGACCAAGGACTGGGAGAGGTTTCCTCAGAACAACATCCTGAACACGCTAGGTGAAGCAGGGCTGCTCTGGATGGGATGGACAGGGTTCAACGGAGGAGACCCATGTATAGTAAGCAAGCACTGATGCTTCCTTAGCAGTATTAAACACCCACGTATGTACTGGTTACTTGGCTAGTCCTGGATGTCCTGTTCTTCGGAAAATCCTCTGTTACGGGCGCTGTTCAGGGGATGATCACGGGTCTAGTCTGCATCACTCCTGCTACCCGTTTAAAAAAAAAAAAAATTGTTGAGGCATGTGCGTTCTGCATGGTGGTGGTTGAGAAAGCATGCAAATTTCAGCCTTTGAAATTTGGTTGCATGGGAAATCTCATGGCAGCCCAATTTTGTTAAAGTCTCGTGGCAGCCTTTGAAGTGGAAATTTGGTTGCTGCAACTTTGTCTATGCAACATTTATTGTGCATGGTTGGATTATGACTTTGTCTTTTTTGTGGTGGTGCATTTTTATTCCATTAATTTGTTAATTTTGGAGTGGGTTAACCAAAATCTCAAGCAATTTGTTCCAACAAAAATCATTTCTTTTTTGACAAAAACCTGAAATGGGTAGATGAACATGACACAATTTGATTAATTTTCCAGGAGTTGTACAAGGATGGGCAGCAACAATAATGGGGCTCTGTTGCGGCTCAACCCCCGGTTAACAATGATGATCGTCCATAAGAAGTCGGAGCTTCTTCAGAAGGTGGATGACACGATGGCGGTGCTGCATACGAACGCTGTTACCGGCAGCCTAGGGGGAATCCTAGTCGGTCAGTTGCTGGAGATTCAGTTCGTTGTTATAATCAACATCGTGAGTACAACCTTAATATGTCTACTGGTGCAACTGGTTGTGCCTCCGCGAATGTCGGAGGAGGACATGGAAATCGGAGACGATGCTGCTCATGGACAAGAAGTTACGCCATCTGGGGTCAAGGCGACAAGGTTAGTAATGGTTTCAAATTTTAAACTTTGATGCCCGAAAACAGAGCAAACTTCGATGTTTCGCTGTTCCTAACGCTGTTAATTTCTCTATTCTGAGCTTCGTGCTCAAGCTTTTCTTTTTTCTTTTTTCTTTTTCCTTTTATCACCAGGATTCTTTGTTAAGTTGTTTTGTGGCCCTCTGTATTAAGTTGCTTAGAACCGAAGTCTTTTCTTTTCACTGAATTAGCTAAAATAAACTTCTAAAAGATACCATTGAACGAATCATCAGATTTCCAGTAACTTATACTCCCAATAGGAGAAAAGGAACAAAAGAACAACGTATCCTTGTACTAAAAGTAAAGGTTCTCATCAAGGTGGCGTGATTTAATTGATATAGAGATTTGTTTTTTATTTTATTAATTAAAAATTAATCTTTTATAAATTTTTTAATAAAAATATTTTTATTAAATTAAAAATAAATTATTCTCAAACTATTCATAAAGCAAGGTTTTTAAAATTGGACCGGATTAGTCAGTTGAACCGATCAGACCAATACTTGATAATGAAAATGATTTGGTTTACATAAAAAACCATTTGATATCAAAACCGATGAAACTGATAAAATCGATAAAACCAAAAATATTACCGGTTTAATTTCTCATGCAATCTTCTTTTTATTTTTTTCAATTTCACCCTCACCATTCTTTTCTTATATCGATTTTAACTCTGGAAGTGTATGCTGCTCGCCTGTGGCTTGTCCCTTTCATCAGATTCTCCTTTGTTGTTTGGATCAGTCAATTCATCGGTTCAATTGATTAAATTAATTAAACCAAAAATCGAACCTAAAATTGGTTCAATAACCAATTCGGTTTTAAAAACCTTGCCATAAAGTAACTCAAAAATAATCCAAAACTTAAAAGAAAAAAAGAGAAAAGGAAAAAGTCAAGGTTCGGTTGCCGTCCCACTTTAAATTAAAGGCTATGCTCGAGATTAGGGAAGGTCCACTTGAGGACGTTCGATCCTCGAGCGTTACGAGGGCCGGCGTCGCGAGTTACTTTAATAAGTTGTGTGGGTAGGTTAAATATCAATTTTAATTTTTTAATTTTAAAATTTTATATAGTTTTTAATTTTTAATTTTTTGTATTTTTTTAGTTTTTTAATTATAACAAATATATATTTTTGATTTTTTTGTTAATTAATTTATTAAATATGTTTATATATATATTTTTTAATTATTAAAATTTTAAATTAAGTCTCTAAACTTATTTTAAAATTTTTATTAAAATAAATAAGTTTTTAAATTTAATAATTAATATAATTTAATCATTTTTCATGATAAATTTAATATTTATTTATATTTTATTTATAAAATATTAATAAATCATTATTTGAGTATTGGTCTTAATCAAACAAATAAGTCATAAATGTAGGTCAGTTTACCTGAAAAACTAAATGATTTAATTAAGTTGAGAGGTTTATTTAGTTTAATAAAAATTTAGGAGCTTCGTGGAGAATCTTGGATGCCTTACTTGGAGGGTTTATTTTACCGTTTGGCAAATCATGTAAATTACCCCCTAAGCTTGTTGGGAGGTGGCAAAAAGCCCCTAAACTGAAAACAGTTCCATAGGACCCCTTAAATTCGTCAACGGTGACAAATCAGCCCTTCTCCAACGGCTGATGTCATCATTCCGTCTAAACTTAACCGAGTTTATGTTTCTGTGGGGTCCACTGTCGAGCTGGACCTGATGTACCGTTTTTTTTTTCTTTTTAACATTTTTTCAAGATGAATGATAGAGGATAACTTTTTATTACTTTTTATATAAGTTTGTGTGTTATTTAAATAATTAACTTTTTAAAATTTATAATATTAAGTGTATTTATTTATTTAATAATATGTAAAAATTATATAAAAATAATATAA